CTTCAGAGAAGCTTTCAGAGTTTTAAAGGTAAATATGTGGCATTAAATATTGCTTTACCATGTACATGTATGTGTGTACACCTACTGTAGATAGTTGATCAATGCTCAGTTCAACAATGATAAACAAACGTGGGTGCATGATTAGCATAACCTCCTCATTGAGATTGTACTCTTGTGGTGGACCGCTGTACAGTTGTGTAATATCTCTGATAAAGGTGTGGTTTGTCACAGCTGATTTTCTCTTATCTAAAGTTGAAATCACTCCTAAGTTGGTGCAATGTTGCCTTTGGCCTTACTTGATCACTGTCACATACACATATAATGCACCTGTTTTTCTTATTGTTCAGGAAGGTGGGGAGTTATATTTCAGTGATATGTATGTTGATCGTGAGCTGCCTCAAAACATCAAGAAGCATAAAGAACTATGGGGTTAGTAAGATGTTTCATTACCAGCATAAACTCTCTTAAATTAAGTCAAAGTTAGAGAATGAGAATATATTATAGGTTTTGAAACTTTACTGATGTCTAAATGGTCCATTTACATTATTTTGTGATTTTTGCTGTGACATTTCTTCATTTAGTGTATGGGATTGGGCATATATTCTACCTGCAGCAGAGATCTGGGGGCAGCTAGTCAGTTGCTTATGGGGGCGTCAGTTGGGGTATTATGAAGCGACTTTAATTATAACTAATATTATGGTTTTTTAAACAAATTATCATAGGTGAAGGTCTCGCTGGTGCTCTATACTGGAAATCATTTGTGGATATAGCAAAAGAAATTGGTTTCTCCGGACCATATTTGATCACAAGTCGAAACATGTCTTGTGGTAATGAAGAATTTACGAAGATTTTAGGTATTAAACTGATAAACTTGTGCATTAGTATATACATATATATGTGATGATGAACGACGCTAATGTGTCAATTTGCAAACAAGGAATTTTCTAATAGCTTATTATTTATTCTAATTTCAAATACAGTAAAAAGCGGGGGAAGGGGGGGGGGATGTCGCTTGATGGACGATATCTTTTTTTTGATGCACTGATGCACATCAGTATTTAAATTTTAAGTCCTGCCATCCTCCACATGTTAAGAGGGGAATTCCCTATGGACAGGCATTGCGTCTTAAGCGGATTTGCCATTCAGATAAGGTTTTTGAGAGTAGGCTTCAGGAATTGAAAGGGTTTCTGGTTAAAAGGGGCTATAATAGCGAATTTGTAGAGAGTCAGTTTAAGAGGGTAAGGTTTTTGGATCGGTCGGCATTATTTAAACGGGGAACTGAGCAAACTAGAAGAGAAAATAATAAGAGTACCTTTATCATAGATTATCACCCAGCATTGCGGGAAATTTATGGAATTTTTAGGGAATTGCAAAATATTGTAGGCTTATCTAGCAAGTTCTTAAGTGTCATGCCAGAGCCACCTATGGTGTGTTTTAGGAGATCCAAAAACCTTAAAGACCATCTTGTTCGGGCTAAATTGTATAAGCTTGAGGTTGCAGCTAGAGGGATGGTTAAATGTGGGGGGAAAAAGTGCAAGGTTTGTGATTCCATCGTGGTAGCGGATACTTTTCAAAGTACAGTACAGCGGCGCACGTTTCACATTAACCATCACTTTGATTGTAACTCTCAGGGGGTGGTTTATTTAATTACTTGCGGAAAATGTAATAAACAATACGTGGGCAATACGGTAACGTCATTTCGTCTTAGATTTAATAACCACAAGAGTTCGCTTAATAGATTTTCTAAGGGCCAAAGAGGTTTATGTGGTCAACATTTGTATGAACATTTTTTTTAGGAGGGCCATTCGGGTCTTAATGATTTTAAAGCACAGATTATTGATATCACGGATGTTAATAAACCTACAGAGAGGGAAAGTTTTTGGATTGAAAAATTGAATACATATGTACCACTGGGATTAAATTTGAGGGAGGAATATTAATGCAAGTCTATATATTTATTATGAGTGTATGTTAATTAGGATTAGGCCAAAGGTATTTAAGGACATGGATTTGAACTTATCTCGTTTCTGACGAAGGGGCTGTGCCCCGAAACGTATCTTTACTTTACAACATGTATTTATTCATTTAAAGTTTAATAAAATTTATTTTCTATTTGAAGCTTTATATATATATATATATATATATATATATATATATATATATATATATATGTAATATATATATATATATATATGTAATATATATATATATATATATATATATATATATATATATATATATATATATATATATATATATATATATATATATATATATATATATATAAAATAATA